ATTAATATATTAATTATTGTTGATATGTAATCCAGTATAGTGGTTCCCAAAGTGTGGGTCAGGACCTCTTTGAGGGTCACAAAACATCAGGTGAGGGTCCACAGATGATTTCCAGACATCAGTTTAAAAGTAAAAAATGCTAATGGAATATTTTTATCATGATTGTTGCAATTTTTTAAAAATAACCCTAAATGAATAAAAATGAGTATTATGGTTACTGTGTTTGTTTATGGTAATATTCTCATGTATAACAGAGTTATTGGTAAAGTTTGCAACATAAACAAATATTAAATGAGGTCCTGAGGGTCTGCAGCTGTTAGTTTGTGGGTCAGAAGCAACAAAGTGAGAGAAGCTGTGATGTAGTGAAGAAGTGAATCATGTGACCAACAGTGTGACAGTTTCACCCTCAGCTGCTGACGTTAATGTTGATCAATAATATTTATAAACCTCACTTAGTGATTATAAGTTTAACAAGGGCCAATCCAAACTCAGTTTATTTTAGGAACCACGTGTTTTTCACATTTCTTCATGCTTCTTCCATTAAAGCTGGTTGTGACAGAACTGTGGATGACAGCAGGAACACAACCCTCTGCTCTCTGATTGGCTGTTTCTGAGCAGTGGGAGGAGCCACAGATGGTCTGTCTCCATCTGTCAGGACGTGATGATCGTTTAAACAAATATATCAAAACATTTACCAACTGCAGCTTTAAGACTTGATTAAACCATCCAGCACGAGGAGAAGACATGATGCTTCAGGGTTTCCCCTAAAACAACAGGAAGCATCAGAAGTGCTGACTCAGCCTTCATTTGATTTCTGTTTTAACATAAATAATGAAAAACAGAGACTTATTCGTTTCCAAAATAAAAAAACAGATTGTGTAATGATTTTTCTCTATCTGTTTTTTAAAAATGAAAAAATAAAATGTGTTTTTAAAAAGAAAAATCACCTCATGAAAAGGAACAGGTCTGGGTCTGACCTCTCTGCCTCAGGTTCTGCTGACTGGTGGTCGGAGCAGGACCACCTCACCCTGCAGAGGTGGAGCTCAGGTTCTGATCAGGACCAGGGTCCAGATGATGCAGCTGAAGCTTCAGTGGTTCTGCTCTGTTAGAAACGGTCAGAACGTTCCTGCAGAACGAGAGGACGGAGGCAGAACGTGTCCCCCTCTCTGTGTGGGTGGTCCGAACACCGAGTGCTTCATGACTGCCGGGCCGAGCGGCGCCGCAGGCGGTGCTGGTCCACAGCCAAGTGTCCCCCCGCTTGTTCTGTCAGACTTCCTGTTCCCCGTCTGCAGCCCCACCAGGTCCACATCACAGGTCCTCAGGGTCCTGAGGGTCCAGGTCAGGACCCCACGTTAGTCTAACAGAGGGTCCTCAGGGTCCTGAGGGTCCAGGTCAGGACCCCACGTTAGTCTAACAGAGGGTCCTGAGGGTCCAGGTCAGGACCCCACGTTAGTCTAACAGAGGGTCCTCAGGGTCCTAACAGAGGGTCCTCAGGGTCCTAACAGAGGGTCCTAACAGAGGGTCCTCAGGGTCCTAACAGAGGGTCCTCAGGGTCCTAACAGAGGGTCCTCAGGGTCCTAACAGAGGGTCCTAACAGAGGGTCCTCAGGGTCCTAACAGAGGGTCCTAACAGAGGGTCCTCAGGGTCCTAACAGAGGGTCCTCAGGGTCCTAACAGAGGGTCCTAACAGAGGGTCCTCAGGGTCCTAACAGAGGGTCCTAACAGAGGG